ACAAGCGACTACTGAGCCAGAAAGCAGAAGCAGGAGGGGGGAATTTTTCGGGTGGTTTCCAGCTTGTGCAAGGTGCATGAAAAGGTCAGCTCTTTCTCAGCAGTTAGAGTAATTTTTCTTTTTACTTCCTTGTACAATTTTTCTTTTGCCTGGGGGACTTAGTTTGAATCCACTTTGGCCTGGGGGGCTTGGTTTGATTCCATCAAAAGCTTTCCTCTGACCTTCATGCAATGCATGATGGCATGTGTACCCAGTCACATATCATGTATATTCTCTCTCTCTCTCTCTCTCTCTCTCTCTCTCTCTCTCTAATAAAACATTAAAAAAAAGCTGTCACTTGTTTTCCACTGGAGATGGAATTCTAGTCCATTAAAATAGTGACCAAACTGTCTCTGCTTTTTTTTTTTCCAGCTTATGTGACTCTTTCTCTTGCTTTGTGCTCAGGTTAGAAAGCCCACCTGATTTTCTTCAGCGTCTTACATGGGCCATGCTCCTCGAGCTCTTGCGTAGGCCATACTTTTGTCTTTCTTCTTTTTCACCTAGCTGTTTTCCTCCCTAGGGAAGCTTGCTTTGCCACCAGTCATGCCTGCCAATCACAGTGACATCCTATTGTGTGTTTTCATAATTCCTCTACTTGCCCTTTGTAGCATTTGTTATAGACTGTATTTATGTGCTGTTCTCCACGAGATGGAGATCTTTTTAAAAACAATTTTATTTATTATTTTTATTTTATGTGTATGCGTGTATTGCCTGCATGTAGGTAAGTGCATCCCTGTCGTGCAATGCCCGTGGAGGTCAGAAGAGACTGTTGGATGCCCTGGGACTGGAGTTATGGACAGTTATTCGCTGCCATGTGGGTGCTGGGATTTGAACCCAGGTCTTCTGCAAGAACAACCAGTATTCTTAACTACTGAGCCATCTCTCCAGCCCCATGATGGAGATCTTCTTGAAGGCAGGAATATGTTCCATTAGTTCTTAGTGCTTATCTTAGTTTGTCTCTTCATTGTTGTGACAAAACACTCTGACCACTACAAACGTGGGGAGGAAAGAGTTTATCTTACATCTACCCGGTCACAGTTCATCAAGGAGCCCAAGGTAGGAACTCAGGGCAGGAACCTGGAAGCAGGAGCTGGAGCACAGGCCATGGAGGAATGCTGCTTACTGGCTTGGTCCCTCAACCCAGGTGTGTCAAGTTGACACTAAAGCTATCCAGCACAGTACTTATCAAGACTAAGGTGTTTCTTCAGTGATATCTTTATGGTTTGTTTGTTTACACAGATTAAAAAATATTTTGCTTGGGGCTCGAGAGATGGCTCAGCTGTTAATAACACTGACTGTTCTTGCAGAAGACCCAGGTTCGAATCCCAGCATCCACATGGCAGCTAACAACTGTCCGTAACTCCAGTTCCAGGGGATCTGACAGCCTCTTCTGTCCTCTGTGGGCATTGCATGACACTGATGCACTTACCTACATGCAGGCAATACACACATACGTGTAAAATGAAAATAATAAAATATTAAAAAAAAATTGCTTTATTTTATGTATGTGAGTGTTTTTCCCCGCATGTAAGTGTGCCATGTGTGCAAAGTGCCCACGGAGGCCAAAAAAAGGGAGTCATAGCCTATGGAAGTGCAGTTAGAGAAGGTTATTAGCCACCAGGTGGGTGCTGGGAACTGAACCTGGGTCCTCTGCAAGGGCAGCCAGTGGTCTTAACCTCTGAGCCATCTCCAGCCCCTATTTATTTTAATTTTTTATTTATGTGTATGTATGTGTTCCTGCTTGTCTATATGTGGAGGCTCGGGAGCGGTTGTGTAAGATCCCTTGGAACTAGAGTTTATAAATGATTCGAGCTGCCATGTAGGTGCTGGGATCTGAACCTGGGTCCTCTGGAAGAGTAGCCAGTGCTCTTAACTGTTGAGCTATCATCTCTACAGCCTCTTCTTGTTTTTTAGATAGGGTCTCTCTTTAGCTCCAGTTGACCTGGAACTCCCTTTGCAGACCAGGCTAGCCTTGAACCCACAGAAATTCACTTGTCTCTGTTTCCCAAGTACTGGTATTAAAGGTGTGCATCAGCATGCCTGGCCCTCCAGGGTCATCTTCATAAATTGCTTATAAACTTTGTGATCACTTCAGCCTGTACTCATGTGCACACATTCCCATATTTTCCCAACATTAACTACTAATAACATACTGTCAGTGGCTAATTGGCTTCTTTGGGCTTGCAGCTGGGAAGACAAGCTAGTCTAAGAGGTCCATAGATAATTGTGGCTTTTCTCTGTTATGCCATATGAGTCAGGTCCACTCTGGAAGGAGATCTATGAATATGGAATCATGTGCATTCAAACTCCATCAGGGAAAGCGTTTCCTCTTTCATTTCCTGTAAAAAAAAAAATCAGTGTAAATCTGTGCTACTGCCTAAGTTGTGTTAAAAATTCCTTAGTTGTCTAATTCTAATGATGATCTTTTTTTAAATATATTTTTTATTTTTTTATGTGTATGCGTGTATTGCCTGCATGTAGGTAAGTGCACCCGTGTCGTGCAATGCCCGAGGCAGGCAGACGAGACTGTCAGATCCCCTGGAACTGGAATTATGGTCAGTTGTTAGCTGCCATGTGGGTGCTGGGATTTGAACTGGGGTCTTCTGTAAGAACAGTCAGTGTGCCATCTGTCCAACCCTAATGATGTTCTTTTGAATTCTATAGATTCTAAGTTTTTATTATGTTCTAGGTGACTTGCATGTTAGATTGATGTTGGTTCTGCTAAATCCTAATTAGTAGTTAATATTCACTGGGAAGATTTCTTGTTTTCTTTGTTTTTCTTTCCTTTACCCTATTTCCAACAGGGACGTCATGCATAGCCCAGGCTAACCTGGAACTCAGAATCCTCTTGCTTCAGCCTCCCAACTGATGAGATTACAGGAGTGTTCCACCATGCCTGCTAGAAGGTTTCTTATTTTATTTCTTATGCTTCTTTGGGTCAAGATTTTGCAATACTTGGGGATGAAACCCATGTCCTTGTATATGCTGGGTGACTGCTCTACCACTGAACTCTATCTCTAGCCCAACATCTCATTGTTTTAAAAAGCTGGTTTGTTGGGGCTGGAGAGATGGCTTAGTGGTTAAGAACACTGGTTGTTCTTGCAGAAGACCTGGGTTTGAATCCCAGCACCCACATGACAGCTAACAACTGTCCGTAACTCCAGTTCCAGGGGATCCGACAGCTTCTTCTGTCCTCCACAGGCATTGCACGACATGGGTGCACTTACCTACATGCAGACAATACACATATACACATAAAAAAAATAATAAAATATTAAAAAAAACGGTTTGCAACAGTAGCTACTAATAGAAATAATTAGGCTTGGTTATTCCACGTAAAAGCAATTGAATAAGGACTAAAGTCTAGCTCAGCAGTAAAGTATATGCTTAGCATGTGTGAGGCCTCAGGTTCAGTTTGGAGGACCCTTCCCCCAAAGAATAGTTTTGGGTATTGGGTGTGTAACTGAAATCATAGAAGTTGAAATAATGTTGATGACTGGAGTTCTTTCCCTTAACTTTATAGTCCTATGATGGTCTCATAGTGCTTTATAGACCCTAAAACTTCTCTCCTGGGATCTGGTAGTCTCATTCACTTTAGCACATCTAATTACTATGGGTTCCAGAAGATAACCTTGGATTGCCAGGCTTATTTATACTAGAGGCCCAGGCAAGTGATACAAATGAGTCAGTATTAAATGATTGAAATGGGGTAGACGAAAGCTCGGAAGGAGTGATGTGGATTGTGATGAGCTTGTCCCATCCGAAGGGGCTAGTCAAAAATGAGGTCAGCCTGTGGTGGTTATGAGTCATCAGATTTTTAATATTTCAGAACCTGCCAATTATATGTTTATATAATATTAATAATAATGTAATATACTATTTGTGGTGAAATCTCCTGAACAGAATGCATATATGCTGAATTTAATTTGAGGGCCACATGTTTACTTCCTGTACCCTTTTTATCCTGTTTGTTTTGAGACAAGGTCTCAGTATATAGGCCAGGCTAGCCTTGAACTAGTAATTTTCCTGCCTCAGTGCTGAGATCCCAGTGTGCATCGCCATGCCTGTCTTTTCCTGTGCTTTACAAGCTATCTGAATGGCAAAGCTTGCTTGCTTTGCTAAGCTGTTTACCTTTATTTGATTAATCAAGGTGATTCCCTTAGGCTGACCTTACATTGCAGTTAATTTGTTTTCTAAAGTGGACAAATTTCTGCTTCAAACTGTGAACCTGTTGTTTGCTAAAAGTGCCTTTTGAGGCTGTGTCAGATTTCTTTTTGTTGTACTGAAGACCCAGATTTTGAAAATTTATTTTATTTCTTTGGTCTTTTTGAGACAGGGTCTCCTTGTAGCCCCAGCTGGCCTGGAACTGACTATGTAGACCAGACTGGCCTTGAACTCACAGAGATCCACCTGCTTCTGCTTCCCAAGTGCTGGGATTAAAGGCATGGGCCACCATGCCTGGCTAAAAATTTTATTTTTAAATTTATGCGTATGAGTGTATTGCCTGCATGTATAAAGTGCACCCATGTTGTTCATTCCCCTCGGAGGCCAGAAGAGGGTGTTGGGTCCCCTGGAACTGGAGTTACAGATGGTTGTTAGCTGCCGTGTGGGTGCTGGGAACTGAATCCTGGTCCCATGCAAGAGCAGGCAGTGCTCTTAACCACTGAACCATCTCTTGAGCCCCGAGACCTAGATTTTGAATCTGATCTGAAGCAGGCAGATGGTGGTCCTGGTTCTTCTGTGTACAGGTTGAATTTGCAGCAGGACATTATTTTGCCAGCAAGTAAAGAGAGCGTGTTCTGTAGAGCTAAGGAATGTAATTTTCTCCACAAGTACTGAACTTTTGCTGAAATATGTTTTTATGTTAGGGAGTGTCTCTGGCCATAAGGAATTACACATGATGGGATTCCTTGTTTTAGACTATTTGACTTAATCTACTTCTATATTTTTTCTTATTATAGGCATATAGTTGGAAAGAGAGGTGATACCAAGAAGAAAATAGAAACAGAGACGAAAACTTCTATTAACATTCCTAAACCTGGACAAGAGGGGGAAATTGGTGAGACTCAGTATTCATAATTATGTTTGTGACTTACTTTCTCTTCATTCATTCATTTATTTTTCTTATTTTTTATAGGTGTGTATAACTACACCTAACCTTTAAAAATTTTTATCATATTTGTTTATTATGTGTATGTTTGTGTGTATATGTGTGGGTACGAAGTGCAGTAAACCTGTATGGAGGTCAGAGGACAAGCCCCAGGAGTTGGTTCTCACTTTCACGATGTGGGTTCTGGGGATTGAACTCAGAGCCTCAGACCTGGTGATAAGTGTCTTTACCTGCTGAGCCATCTCACTGCCCATCCCTCCTGGAACTAGAGGTTGCTAGCCACCATGTTGGTGCTGGGATTTGAACCCAGGTCTTCTGAAAGAACAGCCAGTGCTCTTAACTGCCGAGCCATCTTTCCAGCCCCCTCCTCTTTTTTTTTGAGACAGGGTTTCATGTTGCCCGGGTTGGCCTTAAACTCACTATGTAACTGAGGCTGGCCTTTAACTCCAGATCCTTCTGCTTCTACCACCCAACTGGGATTGTAGGCATGTGCTTTCATGCCTGGTCAAAATACTCTTGTGTGAGGGAGTGAATGAGTGTGAGTGAGTGTGTTTGTGTGTGTGTGTGTGTGTGTGTGTGTCTGTGTGTGCGCTGTGGTGTGTGAATTGGTGTGGGTGTATAACTGCACGTAGAGGTCAATGGATGACATCAAGTGTCTTCCTCAATTGCTCTTCATTTTAGTTTTTGAGACAGGGTCTCTTGCTGAACCAGGAACTTGCTGATTTGGTTAAACAGGCTGGCAAGAGAGGCCCTGGGCTCCTTCTGTCTCTGCCCCCAAGCACTGGGCTTGAAGCTGCACCTGGCTTTTATGTAGGGATTTGAACTCAGGTCTTCATGCTTGTGCTGCCACTGAGCCACCTCCCCAGCCCCAAGATATATATTTTTCAAATTCATTCTGAGTACATTAAATTCAGTAGCAGTTTTCTTTGCCTTGGTCTGTTCCTTGTTCAGATTCATATATACATGTCCAGAACCTTCCTATGGACTCCCTAGAGACACTATCCAGATGAGCCTATTGACCCTTTCTTTTGGTTTTGCTTTCAGTGATCACTGGCCAGCACAGAAACGGTGTCCTTTCAGCCCGAACTCGAATTGATGTTCTTCTGGACACTTTTAGAAGAAGGCAGCCCTTCACTCACTTCCTTGCCTTTTTTCTCAATGAAGTTGAAGTTCAGGAAAGATTTCTGAAGTTCCAAGAGGAAGTGCTGGAGAAGTGCTCCATGGTAAGGAGAGAACAGAAGGAGAAATGTAAAATGAAAATGGTTCATACTTCCAACAGAGGAATATGGACATATCTGATCATAAGTTTCTTTTTAAAATTATTTATTTATTTATTTATTTATTTTGTTTTATTTTATTTTAGTGTGCATATGTGCAGGACAGAGAATAATTTGAAGGAGTCAGGGCCTCAAACTCACAAAGATCCGCCTGCGTCTGCCTCCCAAGTGCTGGGATTAAAGGCGTGCACCACCACGCCCGGCTATTTATTTATTTTTATTTTATATGTATGAATGTTTTGTCAGCATGTATGTAAGCATACCTGTGTCATGCAATGCCCACGGCGGCCAGAAGAGGGCATGGATCCCCTGGAACTAGAGTTATGTATAGTTGTTAGCCACCATGTGGGTACTGGGAACTGAACCCAGGTTCAGTGCTTTTAACCACTGAGCCATCTCTCCAGCCCCCCCCCCCCCGAATCTTAAGTTTCTATAAGAGTTATAAAAGGTCATTCTTTAAAAAAAACTCTGTTTGTGTATGTGTGTACCTCATTCTAGAGGTCAGAAGTTGGTGACTGTGTTTCCTTTACTATTTTTTACCTTATATTTTGAGACAAGGTCTCAAGGTGAACCTGGAGCTAGCCGTTTTGGCTAGGCTGTTTGGCCAGCAAGCCCCCAGGATCCTCTTGTCTTGCCCCTACCCAGCAGGGCTGTAGTTATAGGTGCCTGCCATAGCATGTTTTGTGTGGGTTCTGGGATCCAGAAATCAGACACCTTACTCACTGAGCCACCTCCCCAGCCCCACTTTTATTTTTTGAGATAATATCTCATGAAGCCCAGGATGGTCTCAGACTTGCAGTGTAGCTGAGGATGATCTTAAATTCCTGATCCTCTGGCCAACACCTCTCAAGTGCTAGAACTGCAGTTATGTACCACCATGCCCAGCATGACAGGCCATTCCTTCATAGACCCTGCTCCATATTGTGCCTTTTGGGCAGAGGTGTGAATGTAGTGCTGTTATCTGTTGATCTCCTTTCAGGCTGTCATGGCTCATTTGGGATTAGTATTGTGAATAAAGATAAATTTGTTTATAGAAGCATCTTGTAACTGTGAAATTCTTGTGACTAGGATAATAGAGATAATCCAAACTAGAAAACAAGTTTTAGCCAGGTGTGGTAGTATACACCTGGTAATCACAGCATTCCACAGTTGAGGCAAGAGAATCTAGAATTCAAGTCAGCCTGAGCTAAATACTGAGTCTGATTTCAAAAAGAAAGAAGGAAAAAAAAAAAAGAAAAAGAAAGTTCATAAAGTAATTACAGATCCTGCATTTCCCACCTCACTACCATGAATGGTGGTATATGCCTAAAATCCCACCACTTAGGAGAGTGAAAATGAAGGCGCTCCAAATTTGGGGCTAGCCTGGGCTACATACCGAGCCCTGTCTCAAAAAATAAACCAAAAGCAAGAACAAATTGGTGTATATATGTTCTTATGTTCTGCTTTGTCTGAAACAGCATTGTATCATGAGCTCTGAATGTCACTAACAGAAGCCTCAGTCTGTCATCTGCATTTGGAAGTCAAATATGAAATGACAAGTCATGACTAAAGTGTTAACGCTTGATTTCAGATGACTTGTTTTTCCCTCCCTCCGCCCCACTTTCTCTCTCTCTCTCTCTCTCTCTCTCTCTCTCTCTCTCTCTCATCAGGCTTTTGTTATGTTGTCCAGGCCAGGCTATTCTGGAACTCCTAGATTCAAACAGTTCTCTGCTTCAGCCTCCTGAGTGATTGGTATGACAGGATATGACATCATACCTGGCTCAGATAACTTGGTGTTTTGATGGCTACTATGTAGTCTGTTATGTGGCTGTTTAATTACTTAACCTATTTTGTACTGCTTCTGTTTTTTTTTTATTAAATTACCATTAATAATGTTGTTGTGAATAGTCTGCATACATTTTTCTGGATTAGTCTGATTAGTTTTTTATTTAAATTTCTGGAAGTGGCAAAGGAGTCAGTGTGCTTGAGAATTTTTGGTATATTTATCCAAATTAACTTCAGGAAAGTTTATAGGCTATTGTATTCCAAAATAGAATTTCCTATAGATTCACTTTCTTTAGCCAATACCATTTCTCCTTTTGTTGTTGTCAGAGGAAATGGTGAATGAAGTAGGAGTTTTATTTCCAAGCTTTAAAAAACAATTTATTTATTTATTTATTTATTTATTTATTTTTACATGTGTTTTTGCCTGCATGTAAGTGTACTCATGTTGTGCAATGCCCAAGGAGGCCGGAAGAGGGTGTCAGATCCCCTGGGATCTGAAGTTACGGATGCTTGTTAGTTGCCATGTGGGTGCTGGGAACTGAACCTGGTCTTCTGCAAGAGTAGCCAGTGCTCTTAACCCCTGAGCTACCTCTCCAGCCCCCCTTTGTAGGCTTTTCAGACTCTTACAAAGTGTCCTTGAAGGGCTAGAGGGATAGCGCCGCTGTTAAAGGCTAAGGCTAACGAAGTGTCCTTGAGATGTTCCAAATGAACTCAAAGATACATCCTGCACTAGAACACTGTGAGGTCAACGGTTAGGTTGTAATGCTCTGATGTTACTTGTTAACCATTTGCAGTGTTCTGCGTAGAGGGTCTCCCTGTAGCCCCAGCTGTCTTGGAACTTACCATGTAGGCCAGGCTAGCCTTGAACTCACAGAGATCAACCTGCCTCTACCTCCCAAGTGCTGGGATTAAAGGCATGCGCCACCATGTCCAGCCAGTTTTTTTTTTTTTTTAAGATGTGAAATAATGGAGCACTTCTTAAAGGTACAAGCACAACTATAAAGAAACTTAAGCCAGGGCATGGTGGCGCACACCTTTGATCCCAGCACTTGGGAGGCAGAGGCAGGTGGATCTCGGTGAGATCGAGCCCAGTGTGGTCTACATGGTGAGTTCCAGGCCAGCTGGGGCTACAGGAGACCCTGTCTCAGAAAGACCAAAAAAAAAAAGAAACTTAAAAAAAAAATTATTTCATATAACACAGTATAACATTTTGCTTGCTGCCAAGTTTGACAACCTGAGTTTGATGGGGTGGGGGCCTATGGACGAGAGAGCTGACTTCCACAAGCTGCCCTCTGACCTCCGCATTCCCCTGTGGCATGCACACCTACATACATATACATAGACACACCACACACATAGACATACATACACACAGACACACACAGACATACGCACAGACAGAAATACACACAGACACACACATAAAGGTACATACATACAGACACAAATGCACACACAGACACACACACATACACAAATAGTTTAAAAAACTCCCAAGTTTAGTGTTAAAACACTTTTCTCATTTAGAAGTGACATTTAGAAAATCAGGGTATCATTTGATTAGTAAAGCCTGTTCTTTCTCTCCTAGTTTTATATTTTCTCACCTTAATTTTAATAATTATAAATCTATAAGAACAAATATTATGATTGTATAAAAACCTTGGAAATGCAAATTATGAATACTAACTTAAAAATATACTTTATCATATTTATTTTATGGGTGTGAGTGTTTTGCCTGCATGTGTATAAGTGCACCACATGTGTGCAGTGCCAGCAGAGACCAGAAGAGGGTTGTCCGATTCCCTGAAGCAGGAGTTACATACGGTTGTTAACTGCCATGTGGGTGCTGGGAATCAAACCAAGGTCCTCTGGAAGAACAGCAAGTGTTCTTAACCACTAAGCCATCTCTCCAGCCCCACAAGTACTAACTTTTTAAAGTAATGTGTAAATATCCAGAAAATAAAACAGATTTGACAGTCCAGCTATAGCAGCACTTGTATTTCACTTATAGAAAAGGTGGGTTTTAGTAAATTTTGTGGTAAGGCTTTTGTTTATCTTAATCTAAAGTACTTCAGCAAAAGAACTAGGCCATTTATTTTAAAGCACTATTCCTTCATTTGCTATCCTAATCATTAGATTATGTAGAGTTTTGGCTGGAGGATCAGGCCTCAGAGAAGGTCTGAAATACCTAAAGGTCATTTGGCTGGAGAAAACGATCTTCTTGAGGCTTGGAGGTAGTTATCCATCACTTTGTACTTGAAGGTGCTTCTCCAGGAATTTCTTCCCAGTCCTCAGTAAAGCAGAGGATCTAGGCTCCTGGAAGGGGTTGCTTCTGGCTGGAACACTGACCAGCAGGGCATCCTGAAGGTGTTTGCATGCTGTACTACCAAAGCTCTATAGCCACTTGAGAAACTGGACATGAACCAACTTAAGAGAAAAGGTCTGGGGCTGGAAAGAGAGCTCAGCAGTTAAGAGCACTGGCTGCTCTTGCAGAGGGCTTTGGTTCAGTTCCCAGCACCCACATGGCAGCTAACCATGGTATGTAACTTCAGCTCTAGGGGTTCCAGCGTCCTCTTCTGGCCTCTTCTGCCATTACACAACACAGATATGCTTACATCTATGTAGGCAAAATATTCATACACATAAAATACAAACAAAGAAAAGATCTGTTCTGGTTGCTGGTTTGGGGTTATAGTCCATCACTGTGGGTAGTGGGGCCAGTTTCTGCCCTGGTGGCAGGAAGTTCTTTTTGGATAAGAAAACAGAGAAAGGGGAAAGGCTGGGCCTGGGATCCTAGGTGTGACTTTAACATTTTTTTCATTTATTTTTATTTTATGTGTATGAGTGTTTTGCCTGCATATATGTAAATACATCAATGTCATGTAATGCCCACACAGATCACAAGAGGGTGTAAGATTCCCTGGAACTGGAGTTATGGATGAGTGTTAGCCACCATGTGGGTGCTGGGAACTGAACCCAGGTCTGCTGCAAGAGCAGCCAGTGCTCCTAACTGCTGAGCCAACTCTCGAGCCCTACTTTTTTTCTTTTTTTTCGGGGGGGGGGGGTTGCTTTTTGGTCCAGTTAGCCTGGAACAAACTATGTAGAATAGGCTGGCCTTGATCTCACAGAGATCTGCCTGCCTCTGTCTTCCAAGTGCTGGAACTAAAGGTATGCACCACCAT